CAACTTTCATTATAATAACCAGACGCCCCCTTAAATAGAAATGGAGAAAAAAAATAAAAAACCTATTATCCAACAAATTTTCAACATTTTCAAAATGCCTGGACAAACACAAGTTTGAACTAAAATCATTTCTGTGACACTCAGTGTTCACATTAGCATATTATAAAGGATTTCTATAAGCAATTGTATCCAAAAACTTGTTTAGTGCAATAAAGTACAACCTCGATTCAACGAATCTCCGGTTAGGTCGCAAACTTTTCAGGCCGGATTTACTCACCTGGTTTGACAAACAATGGTTTGCTGAAGTGGGGTGTGTGCGGATTTGTTTTACGATGTCGGGACAGAGTTCACAGGCTGGTGGAAAACTTTGGCATTCTATCACCAGGACCAAAGAGCCAAAGCTCAACCCCCGCAAGCACAATTAGGTGAGTACAGGTTACAGATAATAATTCCCTTATATGACAAGTTTGATCACACAAGTGGACCACACAATAAGTGGTCCATATGAACCAAACACCAGCCAGAATGGTCCACACAACAAGTGAAGCATATTAACCAAACATCAGCCAGAGTGGTCCACACAAGTGAATGATTGTGTTTCCATGATTTTCGTTCACCGATTTGTGGCACATGTATCTTTCCAAATTAATTTAAAGGCTGAAGCGTGAATAGTTAGCTAATGTGTTACAATCTTCTTATATACATTTTCTGTGATGAAACATGATGAGTGAGAGTGGACAGATAAGGGAATATTGTACTGTAAACCTCACTCTGCAGTGAGGTTTCACTCACTTTTGTCTGTGTTATCATAGTTCAGTGATCCATGACTTTGAAAGTTTCAGATTAATAAATCATTTCTAAAACTGTTGTTTTAATAGCTCTTCATTATCCTAATTAAACTAAATTAAATAAAACCAAATATATACCGTAATATAATAGACATCTGCTATTTGAGATATTATTCATGTTATTGGCACAACTACTTCAGCGTGAGAGACGGATCTAATCCATGTGCACACATCATTTGGGAAAATTTGACTCAAATATATTAATCAAAATAATCATATGCTGTATTCGATAGTTGTGAAGGACCACTCCTTTTTGTGAAAAAGGGGAAAACTGAAATGAGCAAATGTATTGAAATTAAATCCATGAACTAGTGCCTATGGATTTTAAGACTGTATATTATAATTAAATTAAGAATCAAACTCACTCACATAAATTGGGGGGTACAGGAGCTAAGAAACTACTACGTTACTAACACAATCATCCGATGCTGGTCTTCATCAGAGTAAATCATAGATATGAAATTATATTATTATACAAAGAAATGTGAATTAACTTTCATTACGACATTAAGATATGGAGAATATCTGTAAATATTAAATGGTTATTAAATGAAAATGATCTTATTTGGAAGATCAATAATGCACTAATGGTTAGTACTACAAAATAATTAAAACAGCTTAGCTGTATGGACGAGATAGAAGTGCGCATCAGAAGGAGACGCTTCACTAGGCTTGTCTAGACATTCCTGGATCACGTGTGGAGGAAAGGCGTATCTTCCCTTGTGTTGCTCTGGTACAAACTGAAATTACAATGGATTTGTAAGGACTGCCTACCTCGAGATTAATATTTCTTTATCTCTAAATAAATGGGAGAGAGCGTAGTCCAGAACGGGGCTTGCTTTTTGTTAAGAGGAGGCCCACGTCATAATGACGAGCAAGTTTATACATTTGTCATAAAGAGATCTCTATAAGTACAAAACTATGTAACTTAACCAGTTGGTGCTTGCCGAAATGACCATTTAATTGATGGTGGAGTCACTGCGGTGCCCAGACACTTGCTGCTGCATGAATGTCCTCTGAATGGCCCGTTAAATTACGTAAACTCCGTGCACCATCCGGTCGGTAAGATGGCCACTCTCGTGAGCTGTAAGTGCAGGTAATGGTGCTCCTCTCCTCCCTCTTCCTAGTCTCGTTGACGCATGCGCTAAGGCACGTAGTAGTAAAGCAGAGAATTCTTCTCTTAATGATTACTCTATTTCGTGAGACAATAAGGCTGGGTTTGATAATATAAGGTGTGATGTTATATTCTCGTCATATAAAAATTAATATGAACTGAGTTCATATAGATGAGAAGTGGAGGTAGAATTTCATTCTTCCATGTCAACTCTGGGATAACAGAGATTACTGTTATCTTGTGATCTGCAGCTAATAATGCGAATTGATGTGATCACTGGTTTATATAGTATCAGTTAATAATTCTTAGCAAAGAATACTGATACATAGTGAGAATAGAATTTAATTCTCTGGTATGTAGATATTACCTTTCCCTATGCTAAGTGATTGGACGTACCCTCGCCGTGAAGTACAAATATTCGGCAAAATAATTTGTGCAGTAGGAAAAGTATTAATATGATTAATCTACAAGTTAGTAATATTAGTAAATTACTATGGTTAATACAAGAATCATTTATCAGAATATTAAAATGAAAATAAGTGTTGGATATTTCCAACACAACACCATGCTTGATTCGTTAAATTTTGTCGCCACAGTTCAGTGACCTACGGCTTCGAAATAATAAATCGGTTATAAAATAAGTATTTTTTGTATTACACACCCTCACTTCCTGCTTCACCCCTCCCCCAAGAGCCCCTTTTAGAAGGTGGCTCAGTAGATTGCCTGGAGAATCTTCATCTAATACAATAAAGCATTCATGAAACAAGTATTTTTATAACTATTTATTATCCTAATAATATTACTAAATAAAATCTGTAACCAAAAATATATATGATGATGTACATCCAGAATTTAAGAAACAAATCTGACTAACAGGGGGTCGAGTGTGATAAGCTTATGAGAGTGAGCCGGTCCCTCCTCACACCAACACTACTGTACATCCCATACACACACTCTCACTGGTCACATAGTTCAACTCAACACACATCTATCCATCCATCCAGCCATCCCTCCTTACATCCATCCCTCCCTCCCTTTCTACCTCCATCCATCCCTCTCTCCCTTTCTACCTCCATCCATCCCTCTCTCCCTTTCTACCTCCATCCATCCCTCTCTCCCTTCCAACCTCCATCCATTCCTCCCCTCCATCCATCCATCCATCCATCCGTTCCTATCCCCCCTCCATCCATCCCTCCCATCCCATCTTCCCTCCATCCATCCATCTCTCCATCCATCCCTCCATTCCTCCATCCTTCCATCCATTCCTCCATCCTTCCATCCATATATCCATCCATCCTTCCATCCCTCCCTCCATCCATCCCTCCATCCATCCCTCCATCCTTCCATCCCTCCCCTCCATCCTTACATCCCTCCATCCATCCTTCCAACCATCTCTCCATCCATCCCTCCATCCATCCCTCCATCCTTCCATCCCTCCCCTCCATCCTTACATCCCTCCATCCATCCTTCCAACCATCTCGCCATCCATCCCTCCATTATGCACATATTGAATGTGCATTTCTTTAGGCCATTGCTCCTCATGCCTCTCTGAGGGGGCCAGATTCTGGCTCGTGGTCCCCGGTTGGCCTAAGAACTCCATTCACACTGACTGATGCCAAAGTCTAATATATTCATATCAGCCTGGATAAGCTCCGGGGAGCCTCCGAGTCTCGACCAGAAAATGGAGTAATCATGACATTCAACGCTGGTTTGTTTCCTTAGTTTGAGTATATGACCTGTTTGTGAAGATGCAAGTTTCAAGTATTCTTCTATGTCAATTTTGTCAATTCCTGTTACTATTTTGCGTGTAATGATCATGTCATCCCTTTTTCTTGAAACTTCTAGCTTTAGTATATTTAACTCCTTTAGTCTCCCTCTATACTCTTGTTTTTCAGTTCTGGAAGCCATTTAGTTGCACGTCTTTACACTTTTTCCAGTTTATTGATGTACTCCTTTGAAAAATGGGCTCCATGTAACATAATTTCTAAAATATTTTTGCCATCGATATATGCTGTACTCTATTTAAAAGCAGTTCTGAAGTTAGAAAGTGTAGTTTAGGCTCCTTGCACGATGTTCTTTACGTGGTCCTCAGGCAACAATTTTCTACACAGGACCACTCCTAGATCTTTCTTTCTATCAAGTGTTTCAAAGCCTTTTCACATAAATTGTATATTGTGTTTGTTGCCCATTTTCTCATATTCCACATTCCATAACATGGCTTTTATTCACATTAAATTCGATCAGCCAAGTGTTGCTCCATACTCTTATTTTGTCCAGGTCATTTTGAAGGGCATGACAATCATCTAAGTTTCTTACCTTCCCTAGTAGCTTAGCTCATCAGTAAACATGTTCACATAATTCTGTATTCCTTTTGGTAGATCATTCATGTAGACAATGAACATTAACTGGTTCTAGAACTGAACTCTGTTTTTCACCACTATTAACGTTTCTCCATTTTGATAGATTGCCTCTGATGACCACCCTTATTTTTGTCAGAAAATTTTTCATCCATTTCAGGAGTCTCTCTCTCTCACCCCCTCCAGTATATTCCAGAACAACCTCTTATGTGGGACTCTATCAAAAACATTATTTGGGTCCACATAATTGGAGTCAACCCAACTATCTCTTTCCTGTAAGACCTCTATCGTAGAGGCAAAGTAGATTTGTTACACAGGATCTTCCTGTTCAAAAATTATGCTGTCTGCTATAACATCACTTCTTTCTATGTGTTCTACCCATTTGGTTTGAAATTTTTTTTCTAGTGTTTTAACTAACATGCTTGTCAATAATACAGGTCTATAATTAAAGAGAGTCTTCCCTTCTATCATTTTAGGAGATTGGAACTATGTTTATATATGTATGTATTAGAAGATTCAGTTTCCTTGTGTAGAATCTGTTTTGTGTGTTTTGCAAATGAACACATCACCTTGTACAGTATTTCATAAAAAGTGATTGAGATTGTAACAAAATTTAACAGAACTTGAAGATGCTTCATTAATTGACTTAAAACCTGGCTAATTGTTTTAATCTTTTGCAGCTCAGTTTTTCCCAGAAGAATTATACCCTGGAGAAGAAATACTGAAGTAAGTGTAAGCACCGAATGGAATACGTTTATCATACTATCAAATGCAGCATGTCGAGTCTCAACAAATAGTACAGTATGATATAATTCACTTGGACATCCTGGTTGCTATGTGCAAACCCTCAGCAGCCTGGTTACCATGTGGATGCCTCAACAGGCTGACTACTACGTGCACATCCTTACAGGCTCTTCACATTACTTTACTCATTCAAATATTGCTTTGGGGCATGTTTTCCAGTGTCGCGTAGATTATTGATCTCTCTGAGGTAGTGTGTTGCACATGCATTATCAACATATATCAAACTAAAGATCACAATGATTTCAAAGGAAATGTGAGCATTAAGTGCAACATGTCTTAAGTATCTTACATTTTAGATATTTAACTAGAGCATATTTTTATAAATGGTATGTATATTTTAGCGATTTTGTAAAATTACTAAGGAATTTTTTGGAATGTGATGCTGTCCAATTCAACAGTACTGTACTTAATAATTAGAAATGTAATTGAATGTTATTTAAAGAATGGAGGCAAAAGGGGTTGTCAAGTATCTCCTAATTTTCTTCCTTTGAATTGTTTACCTTATTAATTCTTCTAGCACACTGTTCAAATAGCTACTCTTAACTTATTTAAATAAATATGTTTGTTGATTAAATTGTCCAATCATGAATTACAATATAAATTTAATTGCACTTCATAATATAAAATATTTATGTGATTAACTGTAGGGTTTTGACAATACAATACTTACAAGCAATTTCCATATAAGATTTATAGAGACCAATAAATTTATTTTATCAAAGTTGAGTACACATAACACTTGAGAAAATGCATCACACAGAAGTAAATACAAATGATAGACCTTATCAGTGTTCAGAGTGTCTAGAAGAATTTTCTGAAAAATTACATATTATTGAACATATGAGAGTTCATTCAAAAGAGAGGCCCTACCAGTGTTCAGTATGTTTTAAAGACTTTTCAGGAAAATCCCATCTAACTCAACATATGAGAGTTCACACGAAAGAGAAGCCATATCAGTGTTCGGAGTGTCGTAAGGGCTTTTCACAAAAATCTCATCTAATACAACATGAGAGAGTTCATACAGGAGAAAAACCATTTCAGTGTACAGAATGTCTAAAAACCTTTTCCCGGAAATCAACTCTAATGCATCACAACAGGGTTCATACAGGAGAGAAACCATATAATTGCTCAGTATGTCTTAAAAGCTTTAAAGAAAAGTCACATCTAATAGAGCACCAGAGACTTCATACAGGCGAGAAACCATTCAAATGTTTAGTATGTCTAAAAGACTTTGTAAAAAAATCACATTTAATAGAACACAAGAGAATTCATACAGGGGAGAAACCATATCAATGTACAGAGTGCTATAAAGACTTTTCAAAAAAATCAAATCTCTCGCAACACATGAGATCTCATTTGGGAGTGAAACCACATCAATGTACAGAATGTCTGAAAGACTTCTTAGAAAAGTCAAATCTAATACAACACATGAGAGTTCATACGAAAGAAAAACCACATCAGTGTCCAGAGTGTGTGAGAGAGTTTTCACAAAAAATATCTCTAGTACATCACATGAGAATTCATAGAGGAGAGAAACCACATCAGTGTTCAGTGTGTCCTGAAGACTTTTTAGATAAAGCAAGTCTAATAAAACATATGAGAATTCACACAGGAGAGGAATCTTATCGGTGTTCAAAGTGTCTAAAAGAGTTTTTGACAAAATCACGTTTGGTACAGCACATGACAACTCATACAGGTGTAAAACCTTACCCATGTTCAGAGTGTTCAAAAGACTTTTCAGAGAAATCAAATCTAATAAAACACTTGAGAGTTCATACAGGAGAAAAACCCTATCAATGTTCAGAGTGCCTAAAAAGATTTTCACAAAAATCATCTTTAATACAACACATGCGAGTTCATACAGGAGAAAAGCCACATCATTGTTCAGTGTGTTTAAAAGATTTTGCAGAAAAATCGAATCTAATCCAACATATGAGGATCCATACAGGCGAGAAACCATATCAGTGTTCAGATTGTCTTAAAAGCTTTTCACAAAGATCATCTCTAATACATCACATGAGAACTCATAAAGGAGAGAAACCATATAGTTGTTCAGAGTGTCAAAAAGAGTTTTCAAAAAAATCATCTCTAATGAGACATAAGAAAGTTCATATAGTAGAAGAGCCATATCAGTGTCCAATATCACTTCAAGACTTTTTAAAAAATTATCTGTAATACATCACAAGAGATTGCTCATTAGAGTTAAACCTCACTTGTCAGCCACTCCTGCCTAAGGTAGGCATAAAATAGACATTAAACTAGAACAAATGTTTTAGATACTCTTCAAATTTATTTGATTTGCATATATAAATATTACAGATCTAGAATAAATACATTCAAAACTATTTAACTGTCAGGTAAGAGAAAACTGTCAGTTCTAGAGTTTTATGCAATATAAAGGTGCAAGGCAGGACCTGGTGTATGTGCTTTGAACAACATAAACACATAAGATGAACAGTTCCCAGTCATTATTATTTGACCTTGAGGAGTTATATGGAATATTATGTTCTTGAACTTTACATATGATATCTTTAACCCTTTAACTGCGCGGCCTATAAATATGACACCCCCCCCCTAGTGCGCAAGAAATAAATTCTCGGGAAAATTTTTTTTTTTTCTGAAAGTGTCAAAAACCCCTCCCTGTATATGGGTATAGCAACAGAATTTCGAAATTGTACTTACTTTGGCTGCTATGGGGTCCGTAAGGTGGCGCGTGACGTATGCTCCCAGGGCCGGTGGGGTGCCTGGGGCGGGGCGCGCGTGTTGCTGCGAATATATTTTTGTTCATTTTTTGCGCACAGTTCCAAATACATTTTATTTGTTTTTACATGCTAATCCTATGTATAATGAACACGTACACTATATTATGGCAGTAAAACATCCGTACTGTCCAAGGACACTGTTACCTGCATGACACTTGTGTACACATATGTTGCACATATTTACCATGTATCATGCTAATTTATATATATATATACAATCTATTTACAGACTATACACTGTCACACACTATATACATTCACCATCAACACATTCAGAACATCGCGAGTGTGAGCAGCCACACCCAGCCAGCCCTCCCTCACTTCTCCAACATTGTATTCGCCAACATTGCTCCTCCCATCATACAGTTATTCACACCAATATTTCATGTTCATTTATGTATATTTACAACATATGTACACACTATACACTGTCACACACTATATACATTTACCATCAACACATTCAGAACACCGCGAGTGTGAGCAGCCACACCCAGACAGGCCCCCTCTCTCTCTCTCTCCAACATCTTACTCGCCAACATTGCTCCTCCCACCATACTGTTATTGTTTTTATTACACTATTTACACATGTTATATATACTTATCTACATGTTTTTTTACCAGAACTATGCAAGTAAGCCAGTATTGTGTCCAAACAGTACAGTGGGCACCATACACTGCATGAGAAATCACACAGCAGACGACGCTACGATTACGACATTACCTCCCTCACCAAAGTAGCTCCACTCAACATACTCCTGTTGCTGTTATTACACTATATACACACACACACAAAATATACCCACGTACATGTGTGTTTCCTATAGCGAACCACAAAGCTAGTATGGTGAGAAAAACAAGAGTGGCTGCTACACAGTGAGGCTACCTCAATTCTCTCCCTCCCTCACCAAAATTCCTTCTTCCACAATACTACGCACAACTCTAATTATAACCACAATCCTGGTCACTAATTTCTGTAAATGAATAATTGACCACAAGTTTATTTTGAAAAGGAACCTAAGAAGTCGTTTGAAGATTCCTAGATTGATGAAATAATGCTGTGGTGCTATGGCTAGCGCTGTGAACATCGTGAACAGCATTGAATCACTGATATTTGAACATTGTACCCAGTCATTATCTCACTCAGGCTCTTCTATAATACAGTACTATCATGGCTAAATAATACAGGTTATATATATATTTTGACATTATTAGGCGATGCTGTGGTCACACGCTGAACAGCAGAGCTGTGCGCTCATGCTGCGAGCGCCAGCCTTGGTTGCTCACTCACTACTGAGGCTCTCACACCCATTATTAGGCGATGCTGTGGTCACACGCTGAACAGCAGAGCTGTGCGCTCATGCTGCGAGCGCCAGCCTTGGTTGCTCACTCACTACTGAGGCTCTCACACCCGGCAATGTAGACCATGATTTTTTTTAAAGATGGCATCTGTTTACAAGAGCCCTGAGGAAGCTGATGTGAACCCCATGTTGCCGCGGGAGTTTTGAATGGAATGTGAAAAATAGAAACACCCGGAGGCGCGTTGCGCACCCAAAGCCTGGGCCTGCAGGCGCGTTGTGCAGTTAAAGGGTTAAAGGTAATTAAATATTCATCTATAATGATTTGACATCAGCATGTGACCTGTCACTGGATTATTATCCTGAGGACCCCTGGAGATGGATCCAGCACCAGGTGACCTGACACTAGATATAATGTAGATTAGTTTTGCAGCACATTTAGAGATGCTACAATGGAAGGTGGGTGTAATACAAGTAATTTATGTGCTTATACTGGTGAAATTCATTTATCACTTAGTGGTACTATATGATAATGACATAGTGAAATATTGTCATTTGAAAATTTAGGTTTTATGTCAAATGTTTAAATACAGACGTTGCCCATTTGGTTCCAATAGCTCAGTGGAGTCTCTCGGCAGTCATTGGAGGCCACAAAAGATATTTTGAAATTGGACATCCTCCAGCTCTTAAGTCACCCGTCATATGATTGTGGCACTTCCATGGGCCAACATAAAGGTGTACAATGTATTAGATTATGTTGGACTCCTAAATACTTTTGCAAACAGATTCCATACTTTTGTACATATTTCTTAAGAAAAATGTTGTTTAGTGTTGATGTAAGGGATTGAATGCTGTCTTCCTGAAAGTGCTATTATGGAACTGGAACACCTCCTTAACATTCAACAAGTAGGAAGGTAGGTGGTAATGCACAGCCCTTACACGAGACCCTCCTGTGGTGCACAAGAATAAATTTTTAAAATATTTATTTATTTATTTTTATTTTAATATTGTTAAAATGAGTTTCATGATCATAGGAAAGGAGAAATAAATTGAATACTGTATAACACTTTGGTTGTAGTGAGGTGATGAAATGTTGCTGTGACACAATTTGCAAGGATCATATGGAGGCATCGTCTCGGGTGGATAACACGCGCAATTCAAACGGCGAGAGTTGCCAAGAATATTTATATGTAACTTATTTATCAGTTTCATCCACTGTTTTTTTTTTCACTGATATTGTGCAGTATGATGTCATAATGTGTACTGATGCCCTAAAAGGTACAGAACATGGATAAACGCAAACAAATGCAGGTCACTAGTATACACATCAGTATGGTTTATTGATACATCTTCAGAAGGAATGAATGATTCATTCATTCCTTCTGAAGATGTATTAATATACGAAAGTACTTGAGGAAATTCCTGTTTCAATTCTTTCTCTATGACCTGACATTGTCACATTTTTCATCACGTGTTAATTTTCATGATTTACACACACACATTATATATGTCGTACCTATATATAGCCTACAATATATATCATGAATATATATATATATATATATATATATATATATATATACCTAACCTATATTTATATATATATATATATATATATATATAATGTTGTACCTAGTAGCCAGAACGTCATACTCAGCCTACTATGCAAGGCCCGATTTGCCTAATAAGCCAAGTTTTCCTGAATTTATATATTTATCAATATTTTTTTCTTTTGAAATGATAAAGCTATTCATTTCAATATGTATGAGCTAATTTTTTTTATATTTGAGTTAAAACTAACATAGATATTTGACCGAACCTAACCAACCCTACCTAACCTAACCTATCTTAACCTATCCTAAACTAAGATAAATAAATCAATAATTTATGTTCCTAATGTAATATAATAATAATATTTAAAATAAACCAATAGGAAACAATTTATTGAAAATAAAGAAAATCACTCGGCCTATTAGGCAAATCCAAAATCCGGCCTTGCATAGTAGGCCGAGAAGTGCATTCTGGCTACTAGGTACGACATATATATATATAACATTATACATACAGTATATATAATGTGTGTGTTCTGGTTGATACCTGGTTGATACCTGGTTGATGGGGTTCTGGGAGTTCTTCTTCTCCCCAAGCCCGGCCCGAGGCCAGGCTCGACTTGTGAGAGTTTGGTCCACCAGGCTGTTGCTTGGAGCGGCCCGCAGGCCCACATACCCACCACAGCCCGGTTGGTCCGGCACTCCTTGGAGGAATAAATCTAGTTTCCTCTTGAAAATGTCCAAGGTTGTTCCGGCAATATTTCTTATGCTTGCTGGGAGGACGTTGAACAACCGCGGACCTCTGATGACTTCTACCTAGTAGCCAGAATGCAGTACTCGGCCTACTATGCAACGCCCGATTTGTTTAACCCTTAAAGTGCGTATCACGTCATATGACGTGTTGGAAGTTGTTCCAGTCAACTGCGCATCACGTCATATGACGTGTTGGAGTACTACGCAAGATTTAAACGGCCCGCGGATACACGGGGTTCACCACACCTTCATCGGGGCTCTTGTAAACAGACGCCATTTAAAAAAAAAATCGTGGGCCAAACTCCCGGGTCTTATTGACCTCAGTATTGAGTGAGCTACCAAGCCTGACGCACGCAGCATGAGCTCACAGCACTGCTGTTAAGCTTGTGACCACAGCATCGCCTAAAAATGCCATAATATACTTGTTCATGCTATTATGTAGCGATGATGATATTACAGAAGACAAAAGACTGATAAAACTGACCAGGGTTCTGATAATAGCAGGATTGTGGTGATATTTAGCGCTGTGCGCCATGGAGGGAGGAGTAATGCTGTGGGAGGGAGGGTGGTGGCGATGTCTTCTGACTGTGTGTGGCCACCTTTTATTGACTGCACTCACCATACTAGCTTAGTGTTCGCTATGGTGAAAACAAATGTAGATACTTATATATAGCGTGTGTATAGAGGGTATAAACAGCAAGAGGAGAAGATTGGGAGCCGCCATTTTGGTGAGGGCGGTGGCGTCGTCTGCACAATGCCACCGTGCAGACGACGGTGTTGTTTACTGGTTACCACGATGGTCTTTGGGCACCATACCAGTTTACTTGTACAAGTATGGTGAATGAAACAGGTAGATATTTATATATAATGTGTGTATATAGCGTAATAACACCACAAATAGTATTGTTGGAGGAGAAATATTAGTGCGTCTGGCCTTGAGGGCGGCAGCCATCAGCTGACTGTGTGAGGTCCTACGTCTTTGTGCCTTTACTCACCATTCAAGCTTAGATGTACAGTTATGTTGAACAAAACATGTAAATACTTATATATAACGTCTGTATATAAAAGCAAAAACAGTATGTTGGGTGGAGAATGGT